TATAAGAGACAGCAGTGGAGGTTCCTCTGGATGGTGCTGTGGAGGGTCCTCAGGCATGGGAGGAGGATCCAGTGGTGGGTCTTCAGGAACCAAGATCATAATTGGAGGTGGAAGTAGTGGAGGCTCCACTGGATGGTGCAGTGGAGGGTCCTCAGGCATGGGAGGAGGATCCAGTGGTGGGTCTTCAGGATCAAAGAGCATCATTGGTGGTGGAAGTAGTGGAGGTTCCTCTGGATGGTGCTGTGGAGGGTCCTCAGGCATGGGAGGAGGATCCAGTGGTGGGTCTTCAGGATCAAAGAGCATCATCGGAGGTGGAGGCAGTGGAGGTTCCTCTGGGTGGTGCTGTGGAGGGTCCTCAGGCTACGGCATGGGAGGAGGATCCAGCGGTGGCAGTGGCGGATCCGGCCACAAGATCATCATTAGGTCCGGCGGTGGAGGAGGTGGCTCATCTGGATGCTGCGGTGGGGGATCCAGTGGGGGGTCCTCAGGTGGAAAGATCATCATTGGCGGTGGAGGGAGCGGGGGGTCCTCTGGCTGCTGCAGTGGAGGATCCAGCGGCGGCAGTGGCACTTCCTCGGGCCACTCAATCATCATCAGCTCTGGGGGTGGCAGTGGAGGCTCCTACCAGTCCACACAGCAGAAACGCCCCATTGTCATCCCCCACATCATGTCCCACCAGACCAAGCAGACCTGCCACTGGCCCCCCAGCCACCAGAAGTAAGAGCCACAGGCAGCCTTGGCCCTCAGCAGGAACAACCCTGCCTCTGGACCACGTTTGCCTGTTTCCTCCCAGCATGTCCTCTTCCCTTGTCTTCCCTTAACGCAGCTTTCCTGTGCTGTGAACTGCCGGGTGGCTCTTTCTCACCCTTCAATATGAAGGGAAATAAAGATAAAGGTGTACAAAAAAAACTGGTTGTTCAAGGTTGCTTTTATCCTTTTTCTGTTCCATGTTTATTTTCAAAAAAGTGATTAATTACACCAAATACATTCGCCTGTGAAATCTTCTTCAGTCTGCAGCGCTGGAGCAGACAGTTATTAACAGAACTTCCTTGAGAGAAACCTTGTTGCTTAAGCAGATGATCATTTCCCCTCTTGCAAATAATGTTCACCAAGGCCGCCACTTCAACGTGGGTAAGAGTTCCACGTGGTTTCCCCTTTCCAGAGAAGAAGGCAACCACAGGCTCTGGGGTTCACTTCAGGGATTTCCAGTGCTGACAGCATCATCCTTTGGACATGCAGTTGGGTTCTTATGTGCTCCATTTCCCTGTATTTATCACAAGAAAAACATTAATTATGGAAAAAAAAAAAAAAAAAAAAAAAATCAGTAGCATTTGTGCTGAAGCTAGCAGCAAGCCCTCTTCAGGACGGGGCTGATTACGGTCGTGTTCAGTAACTTTTAAGCTGACAGGATTTTTCTGCCCATCTCACACACACAGCCGCTACACAGGAAACAAAATTAGGAATAAAAGGGATCACTGGCCATGCAAATGCTTGAGGGATGATGACTGACCGGCTTCTACCTTTTGCAGAAGAATTGGAGGGACCCTCTTACACCGGCAGTATCTCCATCACACCCCACGTTATCCACGTTAACGCTGCTGCGCGTGAAGAAAGCTGCTGGGAAAAAGAATTGTAGGATCCGGCCAAGGTTTTTCTCTCACTCGTAACGACGCAGACCAAGGCAGCATCCAGTGAGGGGTCTGCAGTGGTGCGGCTGAAAGACAAAGTGACCTGCCAGCCCATCCTGAGGGTGACGGGACTGCGGGGCAGAAAAGGGCCCAGACAGCATCAGAAAACAGGCAGCGTGGCCCAAATGTGGGGCCACCACGATGAAGCCTCCACCATGAAGCTTTTTGCATCTCCCCTTGCCTTTACCCGAGGTATTAAAGCCGCTCTTTCACCTGGGGAGGGTTGTGGCAATGCCAACCCCCTCCGGCAGCTGTGGGTGCAGCCACTCTCTTCCTCCGTGTGTGACAAGTACCACACACGTACATGTGCTGCACGTCTCCAGTCCCTGCAGGGTCTGTTCTTGGGGTGTCCACACACCCCGCGCTTGCAGGAAAACCTCTCCCCACCCCTGTCAAAAGCCTCCACAGCCTTCCCTCGCACCCTGGGTCCTGATGAGCTGCAAATCCTGGGTGTCCCTTTGTGCAGGTCCCTACACGTTGAATGCACAGAAGGGATCAAGGCGTTGCGATGCTCGGTAGTACAACACCCACACTTCACAGGTGAGAGCCAGAACTGCAGCGAGACCTTAGATTTCCCTTTGATGATGAGAGTGGAGCTTAGGCCACTGGAGGGAGTCCAAAGCAAGGAACCCCCCTGCACCCACGTCCCTGGTGCCAATGGTCCTGTCCCCATACCAACGGAGTTGCATGCATGCTCAAAATTATGTCCGTCGTGACAGGGCTGGGCAGCCTGCTGCTGCTGTCACGCGTCCTCTCGGCTAAAACCTCCCAATTACGCTTTCCTCTACTCAGTCTCCCATGAGGGTGGATGCTGTTGTCAGCCTCCAAGCATGCATGACGCAGTGACAGGATGAAGCTGCTGCAAAACACAGCGGCCAGCGCTGCGATAACCCTGCTGACAAACTGTCATCCTCCAGCAAGTAAAATATCCAGATGCCTCCCCAGCCTCAGGTGTGGGTGGGCTGGGCAGTGAAGCGGGACCCTCAGAAAATGGGTCCTGTTGAGACAGAGGAAATGTTTAACGTCCCACGGTTCTAGTTTAATGTCCTAGTAGGGTCTTGACGGCCTTCAAATGCCGCTTTGCAGACAGAAAGGTTTCAAGGCTTTCCCCACTCCAGCCTGGTGATCGGGACCCCTGGGAAGTTGGAGCTGGGCACAGATGTTTCCGCTCGAGCCAACAGCAGTGTCCACCTTGGGCTCCCGAGAGGCTGAAGGGAAACGGCTCCCACATCTCTGCCATCCTCGGAAACGGAGCTGGGCTGAGGCTCTGAGGTGCCGCGCTGCCCCGTCGGAGCGGTACCTCCGGCCTGCCGAGCACACGGTTGCCTTTCCCAGTGGGCTGGACATACTCCTGCTCCCCACCCAGCTCCCTTCGCCAGTCATTGAGGAAAAACTTTCCCTGGAATTCCCTGGGACTCTGCTCCAGCACATCCTTTACCCTTGTCCTTCCACCACACTCCAGCCCTAACTCGCTCCAGCCTCCATCCCTCAGCATCTGCTCTGTCTCCACTCTCTGCTGAGTACGCAAGAAGCTGCAGCCTAGCAGAAAGACACTGGGGAGCCCCCAAGACAGACCCTCAGAAGCCATTCGCCCCTGGCATTTCAGAGTGAGGCTGCTGGAAATGAATCATTTAGAATTAGCAACTGCAGTGCAGAACGTAATTGATACATCTTCGTATCACCTATGTGCTGCAAGTGAGTCAAAGAAGGAGGCAGCTGGAGCCAGGCTGGGTAAATAAATCTATCAGCATTCCTTAGGGTGTCTCACTTCCCTTAAGAGCACAAGGAATACAATATAAAAGCTCACCCGTCCCAAGCCTCCGCATCCATCTGCCACCGAGCCTTGCGCGTGTTTCCAGTTGCACCGAAGGTAAGTCCATTGACACGGAGACTTTTTGAACCCCTCTGCAGAGAGGTTGCTCCACCAGTTGGTCTTGAGCGTGTTCTCCGTGAGGGAACCATGCCGGCTCAACGTCAGATGGGCTTCACCAAAAAACAGTTTGGTGTGCCAACAGGTCTGCCGCCTTTACAGAAGGGAGTTGTAGTTGATATTCTAAGGGCACACCAATATGACGGAATTTTGAGTTGCTGTGAGTTTTATCAGCCTCAACATCCAGCAGGATCTACGGTGGGACTAAAGTTTTTAGGCTGCCGTCTCTGAGTGTGTGTCAGAGTGTGCAAAGCTCTGGAAGTTCTCTAAGTCTTCCTGAAAGCAGTTTCTCTGTAACTGTCGTGATCTGCAGAACAGTCCCCAGGCGGTTCCCACTGCAGGTCTTTCCTGCTGTCTGACATGTGTGAGGGTGTTCATGAACACGCCACCCTTGAAGGACTGCAGAAGATGGGGCAGATGGGGTATTTCCGAGTTATTGCTCCATTTTTGATTTGCTGTGAAGGCTTGGCAGCATCTCCCAAGGGGTCCTTTCTGAGAGCACTCTTTCTTGCAGGGTCACTGCTCAAAGATGTGCTCCAGACAGACATCCGGAGGATGCCATGAAACATCCTCCCAGTCCAGCGGATGCCACAGTGGGGGCTCCTGCTGCCACGGGGGCAGCTCCTCCGGCTACCAGGAACAGGGCTCCTCCTCCTGGGGGGGCAGCTGGGGTGGGAGCAGTGGGGGCTCTGGCAAGATCATCATCAGCTCTGGCGGTGGAGGAGGCGGCTCCTGCTGCAGTGGGGGCTCCTCAGGCTACAGCATGGGAGGAGGATCCAGCGGTGGCAGTGGCGGATCCGGCCACAAGATCATCATTAGCTCCGGCGGTGGAGGAGGTGGCTCATCTGGATGCTGCGGTGGGGGATCCAGTG